TTTTCAAGTTAGAGAGTCTTTGGGCATCTGGGGAGAGGCACTCACTTTTAAAAAGAGCTTGTTAAGAGGTCCGTGGGAATAGTGTGGGTGTGCGCCTGAGTATATCTTTCTATAGCAGAGAATCTACAGCTTTCGTCGATTCTTGTGGGTTAATTTACAGTCTCTGGGCATGGGTCTGGCAGATATTAGATCTGGCCCAGCTGCAACTGGCTACCTGTGTTCACGCCTGGACACTGCAGCAGGCCACAGGTAGGATATATCAGAGACTAGAGAGGTGGCGAGTATCTTGTCCTTACAAGTGTTGCAGAAGATATTCTTCAGATAAGCAGGTTTGTAAGGTCTCTCCCAACTCTTAGATTTGGGAGGCCAGTTGTTGGTTTCCTGGCAGAAAGTTCCCTCAGAACATCCTTGGGGGAACTTCAGAGAGCTACACCTGGTTTAAGTCTGATTGACGGAGTCACTCAACAGCAGTGTGGAGCATTTATTTTCCTGAGGCTCTCAGGAGGGCTGGAGCAGGATGAGGTCAGGGTCCTGCTGGAAAACACAGGACTCTGGAGGCTCCGAGATGAGACCATCTGCAGGAAAATAACCTCATGTCTGACAATGCTTCACTGTGTGTGATTTGACTGTTGGCAGAAACAACAGAAAACTTTAGTCTAAAAACCAGTTTTCAGGAAGTCAGTTGCAACGCATTGTGACTCCAAGTGCATCTGAGTAGAGCTGGGCTCCACAGGGTTGTCACTGGCTGATTTTTCAGAAGTAGATCACCAGGCCTTTCTTCTGAGGAGTCTCTAGGTGGACTTGAACCGCCAGCCATTTGTTTACTAGCTGAGTGCGTTAGCCATTTGTCCCACCTAGGAATTCTCACTTTAGTCTAGAAGGAGGCTTTTTGTTTATTAGTTTCCAAGAATCTGAACCAATGGGAGCTGTTTTTGTCTCTAACGGAGAAGCTTAGGAAGTGTTTCGTTCACCCACTTTTGACTTTGCTTTCTCTGAATTTAGGAGACATTTGAGAACTCCTTCCAAATTTCAAATAAAAATAATAACAGCTTTCTACTGGGCCCCCTAAAATGACTGAGGCTCACAGAGTACTCCCCTTAAGTCCTACATGGAAGGGTTTATTTCTTTCTTTTCCTTGAGTAGCATCTTTTTATATAAAGGAAGTCAGAAGGGAATCTTGTAGCTGACCCTGAGAAACGACTGAGTCTTACCCAACTCTCCTGAAAAGGGAACCCCAAGTGATGAGCTTCTTAGTCAAGGTGGGTCAGTCTCTCACTGAAGGTCAACGAATCATGCATGGGATTTTAGAGCAAAGAGGAAGTTTAGAAATCTCTTAGTCCAACCGTCCCTTTTGAGAGATAGGAAAACCAAGCCCCTGGTTGGTAGCCGAAGTGGTCAAGCTCAAGGTCACAAAATCAGACTCAGCCCCCTGGGAGCAGACAAATTGCAGGCCTGCTTATCTAGCTCATCCTGGAAGTCAGTGTGTGGGACCCTGCCTGGGCTGTAGGGGTGCCCCCCTAAAGCACCAGCTGAGATTCTGACTCAGGGTCAGCGGACCCTCTATCAGGATTTGGGGTTTGTGTTAACAGTGGCCCTCTTTCCGGAGGCCCGATACCATCAAGGCCTCTATTTTATGAAGAAATCTTAGGCTTCTTTCACAATCTCTGCTCTTAGCTCTTTTTCAGAACGGGTTCATGTGAATCAAAATGGAGTGGTTGTTAATTAACTACAGTATAGGTGATTGGTTCCCCTTTTTTTTTTTTTTTTCTGTCCAGCTAATAGAGGCCAAAAGGAAGTTTGTTGGGTATATTTGGCCCCTGATGTGTGCATAAGGGCTTGGCCATGGGGTGGCTGAGCCACTGTCACTTTGCCAGGCTTAGTAAAGAAAACCCCCTGGGGAAGGAAGGAGGAGGGGATTCAGGGTTTGGGAGATCACTAGAGTAGGCCCCTCTTGGTCATCTCTGTAATGCTTAGTTAGCGTTCAGTGAGCCTGTGTTCTTGTGCTGGTATTGGTTTCAAATCACTTGACCTCTGGGTCTCCTCTAGTTCCAAATCTGAGTGAAGACCAATACTTCCTGAAACCCATTCTCCCACCTGCACCTCCACCTGCAACTCTTCAGGAACCAATATGGGGCCCTTTGGGTGCTGGGAAAGATTGAAGATCAAGAAATTTTATTTTCCCACCCTGTTGCCCCAGCTAGTTGTTCCAGTCTGTATTCACTGGGGTTGAAGAACCACAGATGGTAATGAGTAGCACACTGGGCTAAGAGTCGAAGACACCCCATTGTGTTGGGACTTTGGAAGAGTCACTTTGCTTTCTAAGCCTCAGTTTCCCTGTCTGAGGCCCAGAAGGACAACCCTTACTTCCCTTGCCCTGGTGTTGGGTTAAATGACACGATGTTCACTGGGGGCTTGAGACACTCTCTTGCTTTCCTCCTTAGCCTGTCAGTTCTCTCATTGAGAAAATGTCTGTGAAGGACATTGCCCAATGTCTGGCACATGATCTGCACTAAATAAATGCCCACCCTGTGATCTGACAGTTACAAGCATGGGGTCTCGACCCAGCTAACTCTGCCCGGGATTGTGCAAGGTCTCTAAGCCTTAGTGTCTCCTCTATAAGGTGGGATAGCAGCGGGACTCACCTCCCAGAGTAAGAGAGCTGAGGCTAAGAAGATCCTGGCTGTAAGAAGTATTTCCTAGAGCTCTGTTGCAGCAGTTTTAACACTTAGCTTTGGTTCTGGCTGTAATGTTATCTGTTTAAAAAAAAAAAAAATCATCTTTTGATGGAGAGACAGACCACAGCCCTCCAAGGCCCCCTCAGAAACAAAGGGTGAAGGGAACCTGGCTCCCAGATCATGGGGTTCCCCACCTGCTCCACCCAGAGTCTGGCCTCCCCAGGGGGTTTCCTGAAGTGAAGAGTTAGAAGGGGGAAGAAGGGGGGCGTTGGGAGCCCTGGTGGGGGAAGGGGAGGAGCAGGAGGAGGAAGACGTGTCCCTGGGAGATAAGGCTCCCTTGTAAGCCTGGGGTGGGGGACAGCTGCCCTAGGCTGCCTTTGTTCTGAGAGCTGAGAATCTGACAGCTGGAAGGGCCTTCAGAGGCCTTGGAGCCCCACCCCTTCATTTCAGGGCCTAGAGAGGGAAGTCCTTGGTAACTGCTGTGGCTTGGGACTGGGTCTTCTGACCCTGGTGTAGGTAGGGCTCATCTCCACCCTAAAGCATCCTCCTTCATTCAGGGCCGATTCACTCATTGTCCTTTTGGTACAAATAGGTAACATGCGCAGCTACTAACCGAAAGGAAGTCCACCAGAGGCCCTCACAAGAAAGGTCTGGCAATCTACTTCTCGAGTCAGCCGTTGGAAACTCTGTGGGGCACAGTCTGTTGACTCAATGGCAACTGGTTTTGGACTGTGAGTCAGGCATGGGGGGTGAGACAGGAGCACTGCACAGGGTCTGCCCTTCAGAAACTTTTGTCCCTTGAGCAGATACCACCCTTGGCTAGACATTCACTACAGCCCAGGCACCAAGCCAAGCACTATATACATCTTTTTGTAATAAATGAAAGTCATTTCTTGCTCTCAGCAGTCCCATGAGATTGAATTGTGATCCCCATTCAGCAGATCCAGACACTGAGCCCTTCAATGAAAAGCCCTACATTAAGGAGGGGGGTGTACCTGGCAATGCCAGCTCAGGCAGGGCCACCACAACCCAAACTCTGGATGTTCTGAGAGGGCCCTGGTGAGTTGGGCAGGCAGACCCTCTGAGGAAGAGTCCCTTTTCTGCCATACTCTGGGTCATTCCCTCAGGGAAGGGACCAGCCCACCTGCCTGAAAGCAGAGCTCCAAGCTGATCTCTCTAATCTCCCGCCTCTGCCTCTCACTCCGCTGCTCCTCGCTCCTCGGCCCCAGGCCTTATCGCCCAGGCCCTTACTGTTGTTCAGAAGAAGCCAAATCCTTTCCCGCGCTTGGTGCTATCGCCCCTGCAAGCCTTTCATGGCAGCTGGCACGGGTGTGGGGCGGGGGTGCTTGGAGGCCTAGAGAACGGGGCCAGCCCGTGCTCAGCAAGAGGTAGAGAGCATATGGAACCACCCAAAGATGTTCTTTGCCTCTCAGGCACCCTTAGGAGAGCCTCACAGAGGGTTGTGCCTGGAGAGCCAGGAGTCCCGTGGTGGTCACGATGTTGCAGTCCTGCCACTCCCTCCCACCTCCACCCCCACTTTGGGACAGTAAGGGCAGGTCCCTTCACCAATTTGGTCTCTGTTTCCTCATGCATCTCCTTGATGGGTAGGTTGAATGACAAGGCTGGGGTGGGCTGTCTGCTGCTCAGCTCCTGGAATTGAAGGGCCTCTTCTCCCAAGGCCACAGCAAAGCTTTAGGCCTCTGCGTAGGTGAGATTAGTCCCTCACTCAACTCCAAATCACTGAACCCCACACAGAGTAAGAAGGCCCCTCTCTGGTGACCAGACACTGGTTTAGGATGAGGTATGGCCCTGCTCTCACTGCAGTGGCTCCCAATAAGGTGCATTTGTGATTGAGAGTGGCCGGCTTGCTACGGGCTACTATCTGCCCACCAGGCCCCCCTGTGATAGGCACTGAATACACATGAGCCTGGGTGGCCTCACTCTTAGTCCCACCTTACAGAAAAAAGAATAGGCCCAGAGAGGTTGAGTGTCCACTCCAAAATTGCACAGCAAGTGAGAGAGGATTCTAACACTAGAGCATCTGACTCTAAAACCTTAGCTCAGGATGTTTCTTTCTATGGCCTGTGAATGCAGGCTCCACCAGAACTCAAATGTCACTTTGAAGATTCAAAGTCCATAGTGTGGAGAACCCAGAGACAGCCCTGCCCCTGATCTTCCTTCTGTATGGCCAGTGCCAACTCCATGAGGCCAACGCTGGTGTTTTCTAGACAGCGGATGTTTGATTTCAAGAAGTGATTCTAAAATATCTTACCCTTCCTAACTTCCCTCCCCCTCTGCCCTGCAGGTGTGGAGTGCACACTGAGAATGCCACGCTCCTTCCTGGTGAAGAGTAAGAAGGCTCACACCTACCACCAGCCCCGTGTTCAGGAGGATGAACTGGCCTGGCCTCCTGCCCTGGCCCCCGGTGAGTCAGAGCCCAAGCTGGCCTCCTGCTGCAGAATGCCCCACCCTACACAACGAGGGATGCATTGACCATCCCACCCTAAGTAGCTCCCTCTTCCAAGTCTGTAGTGCAGGAGGAGGAGCTTGATAAATGTTGGTAAAATGACTGACTGAATGAATGAATGAATGAAAAGAGCAAATGTATGAAAGAATGCACCCATCTCTTCTGACTCTGGTGGTTTTGACTTTCTACAGTGGCCAGGGACCAGGTCCCGAGCAATGGCCCTGTCCTCGGCACCTTGTTTCCAAACCAGTGCCTGGAGTGGACCAACCTCAAACGAGAGCCTGAGCCAGAGCTGGACCAGAGCTTGACCAGGCTGGCCTTGGCACCAGGTACTCAGCCACAGGGAGCATGCATGGGCCGTGGGGTGGAAACAGACTCCTAGAAGCAGGGGCCCTTGGAGTCACAGAGTCTGCGGAAGGACTGACGAGGTCATCTGGATGCAATCTGGGCTCTCCAGCTTCTGCTTGAACCCCTCCTGGCTGGGAAGCTCATCTCCTTGTGGGCATCTCTGTGTGGGTAGGGCAAGAGACAGCAGCTGGGCAGGCTGACACGGTGGTTGAGGGGTGCGCTCTTGAAGGGTAACATTTCTGGACTGGAAAACGTGAGGATCCACAATGAGGACAGAGCAGACCCCTCAATATTTTGGGTTATACACCAAAACCCTCCATGTGAGATAGCCAAGCAGAGGAGGTTGAGGAGTAGGTGTCCTAGTTTGGGTTTTTTTTTTTTGTTTCCCGGAAGTTCCTGCTTCCCCGTGCACAGACAGAGGGACAACAATCTGGTATGCAAGGAAGTGTTAGAGCAGAGGAGATACACGTGGGGTGCTGACGTTTGCTACAGGGCTTCCTTTTCACAGCCCAGCCACCACCATCATCATCATCATCTTTCTCTTCTTTCACACCATCCTTACCTCTCTCACCATCATTATCCTCACCCCCCTTTGGACCCTCATCTCCCTCACCATCCTCACCTCCATCACCATCCTCACCTCCCTCACCATCTTCAGCATCCTCACCTCCTTGATCATCCCTACCCGTCTCACCTCCCTCACCACTTTCATAATTCTCATATCATAGCCAACAGATAGTAGATGTTTCTTGAGTTCCATGCACTGCCTGAACATTTACAAACATGATCTCATCGAATCCTTATCTGTGACCCAAGTGGTATTACTTCCCCTCCGGTTTATAGAAAAGGAAACTGAGTCTCAGAAAGAGGAAGTCGCGTGCCCAAGCTCACCCAGCCAGCCAGTGGAGTAACCAGGGTTAGACCTGGGTCTGGGTGACTCTGCAGCCTCTCCCCAGGCAGGACCATGCTCAGCAGTTCTGGGCTCACCTAGAATGTGCCCTTCTGTCCACAGAGGGCCCTGTTGTGATGTCCCAAGCCCAGGATGGTGACTCACCACCCTCCGACTCACCCCCATTCTACAAGCCCAGCTTCTCCTGGGATGCGTTGGCCTCGTCCTATGGCCATAGCTACCAGCAGACTCCCTCCACCATGCAGTCTGCCTTCTTGGAGCACTCCGTCAGCCTGTATGGCAGCCCATTAGTGCCCAGCGCTGAGCCCCCCTTGGACTTCAGCCTCCGCTACTCACCAGGCATAGACGTGTACCACTGCCTCAAGTGCAACAAGGTGAGCTACCTAGGGTGCTGCTGAGCACATAGGGCCTGACCAGTACCCCCTCTCCAGCACGGTTGCTGCTACAGGGCATGGGTGTTCCCTGTGCTGTCTGCCTTGGGAGTCCAGGGGGAGACTAAGGATTCAGAATGTTCATTCTCATCGCCATTTATTAAGCTCTAACCATGTGGAGCTCCGGTGACGTAGTGCCTAAGGCATTTGACTGCTAACCAGAAGGCTAACCGACTCGATGGCAGTGAGTTTGGTTTTTTGGTTTTAACCATGTGCTAACCAGAAGATCAGTAGTTCCAACCCACCAGCTGCTCCGTGGAAGGAAGATGGGGAGATCTGCTTCTGTAAAGATTTGCAGCCTTGGAAACCCAATGGGGGTTACTATGAGTTGGAATTGACTTGATGGCAGTGAGTTTTTTTTGTGTTTGTATTTGTTTAACCATGTGCCTGGCCCTAAGCACCTTACCTTCAGGACCCCATGAGCCCTGGGTGGTAGGCTTTGTTACCTCTAGTGTATAGATGAATGGCAAAGGCTCAGAGAGATTGAGTAACTTGCCCAAGACCACACAACAAGTAGACATCGGAACCAGGATTCAAATATCCAAAAGACTAAACCAAACTCACTGCCATCGAATCATAGATTACCCGATCTTCCTTCCGAGAAGTGGCTGGTGGCTTTGAACTGCCAGCCTTCTGGTTAGCAGTCAAATGCCTTAGGCACTAGGGCACCAGAGCTACTGTTGTTGTTGTTGTTATGTACCGTCGAGTCACACCCGACTCCTAGTGACCCCTCCTTGGGTTTCCGAGGCAATATCACTACAAAAGTAGATTGCCCCATCTTCTTTCTGAGGAGTGGCTGGTGGGTTTGAACTGCCAGCCTTCTGGTTAACAGTCAAGTGCCTTAGGCACTATGCTACCAGAGCTCCCACCAGAGTTACTAGCTCTGGCCAATTCCTAATTCTTAACCCCTCAGCTATTTAGCTTTTGGATAGAGCTAGAAGGGGCCTTCCAGTTTCTCCTCCCAGCCCTCATTTTACAGACAAGAAACCAAGCCACAGAGAGGGAAAGGGACGTCCAAGACACACGACGGCAGCAGAACTGATACTCCTGTGCTGCAGCCAGGAGTGGAGGTGGAAGGGGTGTAGATGGCCAGGGGACTCCAGGCCTGACTCCCTCCCTGCAGCTCCCTGTGGCCTCATACTCTGCCCCCGCCCTCAGGTGTTCTCCACCCCCCATGGGCTCGAGGTGCATGTCCGCCGCTCCCACAGCGGGACCCGGCCCTTTGCCTGTGACGTCTGCGGCAAAACCTTTGGCCATGCCGTGAGCCTGGAGCAGCACACACACGTCCACTCCCAGGTGGGCAGCTAACCAAGCACAGGGCCTCATTTCTCACTTTGCGCTTCCTCCCAGGAAGCTTAGGGGGTGGGTCTCTCGCCTGTTCCTGCAGGTGACCCAGAAGGGGGGTAGTCTCCCACTGCTTACTTCCCCTGGTCTGGGTCTCCAAATATCCCCCCCCATACATTTCGGTCCCTGATTGATGGAGTCAGCTTCATGTCCAATTGGAAGAGGATATTACCCTGGGTGGGATTTCAAGGCCCCAAGGTATCTGGGATGCTCAGAAGTTATCCTACCCACTGGGTGGTCCACACAGGTTCCCTCAGCTTTGAGGCCCTCTACTCTCAGAATCTTGGAGGTAGGCTTAAATGTTCATCTCATCCCACTTAGCTCTACCTGAGACAGGAATCTCTTCTTTAGTATTCTATTCAGGGAGAGTAGCTGAAATCAACATGGGTGCCTAACACCTAGAGCAGCCAGTGAAAGCAGACTATCTTGAGAACGTCCACTCAAGAGCATGTACTAGTAGGTGCCAGGCACCAGCACAGTTCTTTGCATTCAATTCTGCCAACAATCCTTTTTGGTCACTGTTACCACTTTTCTGATGTCCAGTAGAACTCAGGGAGGGTAAGTGGGCCAAGATTAGGCCCCAATAATTAGGACTTTCGATTTAATTGCTGCACTGCCCATAACCACCTCTGCCTCAAGGAACTCACTCTGGATTAATTTGCATCCAAGGAGATGCAAACCCATTGAAGAAACTCCCAGATCAGTCAGTCGGTCAGTCAGTCACTGAACAAACATGCTTTGAGGGTGATTTTGAATGGGATACTGTGACATTTACAAAGAAAATAAATCCCACAGAAGACCAGTTAGGTCCCAAGTGCCAACACCTCCTGGGAGGTAGGACAGGGGGTGCCTTGGCCCTACTCCTCCAGGCGCCAATCCTCAAGGCCACCCCAGTGAAGTCTCCTGTTCCTCAGGGGATGCCGGCCGGGTCCAGTCCTGTGCTCAGCTTGGTGCTCCCTGGTGGTGAGGCCCTGCCTGCGCCTGACCCCCCAGGGCCTCGTTTCCTCCGGCAGGAGCGAAGCTTCGAGTGCCGGATGTGTGGCAAAGCCTTCAAGCGCTCGTCCACCCTGTCCACCCACCTGCTCATCCACTCAGACACGCGGCCCTACCCCTGCCAGTTCTGTGGCAAGCGCTTCCACCAGAAGTCGGACATGAAGAAGCACACCTACATCCATACTGGTGAGCCCCCCCACTGGTCTGCAGAACCCTCCTCCCGTTCTTCCATTCCTGGACCACTGTTTCCCCAGGCCAAGCCCACCCAGGACCCAGACACAACCAGGAGGCCTGGAGACTTCTAAGGTTGCCATGTTGAAAGACATGTTCCAAGGTCCCTGGCTTTAGGATAGGAGTGGGGTCAGGTTACAAAGAGGATGGTCGTGCTCTGATGAAGGGCAGCTGTACTGGGTTACCTAAATACACTTAATGCCTAGAAAAAGTCCTTGGGTGGTGCAAACAGTAAAGCTCCCAAATCCACCCAGAGGTGCCTCAGGAGACAGGCCTGGTCATTTGCCTCCAAAAAGTCACAGCCTTGAAAACCTTATGGAGCAGTTCTCTGCACGCATGGGGTTGCCATGAGTTGGAATTGATTTGATGGCAACTAACACAACAAGGCCTAGAAAATACACTGGAAGGAAACCCACCAAAATGTCAACACTGATTACGTTTAGGTAGAAATGGGACTAGCAGTGAGCTTTCTCTTCATTCATCATTTATTCCTCAGATAGTTAGCAAGTGCCTCTTTTGTGCCTGGCTGTGCCAGGTGCTGGGATATATTAATAAAGAAGATAGACCCAGTCCTTGTCCTAACCAACCTTGTCATCCACTGTGGGGTGGAGGAAGATCTGAGTTTGATTTTACTTGTTTGCCTTTACTCATTATTTTCTAAAGTGGGCTGGTTATGAAAATAAAATGTAATACATATTTAGAAAGCAAAGACAGAGCAGGAGGGTAGCTGGCCTGGCATGGATGCCCTGATCTGTCCTTGTTGTCTGGTAGGTGAGAAGCCACACAAATGCCAGGTGTGCGGGAAGGCATTCAGCCAGAGCTCCAACCTCATCACCCACAGCCGGAAGCACACAGGCTTCAAGCCCTTCACCTGTGAGCTGTGCACCAAGGGTTTCCAGCGCAAGGTGGACTTGCGACGGCATCGCGAGAGCCAGCACAACCTCAAGTGAAAGAACACCTGTTTCCCACTCTTGGCCAGCCCACCCTGACATCAGCCCACCCTGATGTCTTGTCACTTGGAGGCAGGCCAGGAGAGAGGCCAGCCTCACAGGTCCTGATCCTCAGTCTCCCAAAAACAACACTGGACTGGGAGTCTTCAAGCTTGTCTCAAGACCCACAGAAATGCTGTGTGACCTTGGGCGAATCATTCTCCCTCTCTAAACCAACATGTCTCCTACATAAAATGTAGGAGCTAGGCTGGGTCTTTTCTGAGCTGAAATTTTCTGCACATATAAGAGTTCCAATGCCTTCTCCAGGACCGAGCCCTCCAGAGTACCCAGATGGACAGGAATGCCAAGAATGGACCAGAGCTGGAATCAACAGTGAATCTTCTCCCTGCCTGCTGACCTCTGGCTGGCATTTAGAGGACCTCTTTCTGGAAGCCACAGATGGTCAGAGCTGCCTCTTGCCCTAGTGGGAGGCCTAGAACCCCTCTGTTTCAGCCACAAGTGCTGGCTGCCCCAGCTCTGACCAGTGCCCAGCTGGCTAGAGATTCCAGTCCTGCTCTCAGGCAGTGGGACTAGAGAAATAGCAGTTATTGCTGTCAAAAGCCTGTTCCTCTCAACTGCTGTAAATAAAAATAAAGACAAAGATTCATTTCCATTTTTTATTGCGATAAGTACAATACACAGGTAACAAAATATTTGCCATCTCTACAGTGTTCACATGGACGGTTTAGTGACATTAATTACATTCATCATGTTGTTCAACCATCACTGTTAAAAATTCATTTATATTTGAAGGCCCTGAATGAGGCTTTAGGGGTTTACGGAGTTTCATATACACAGAGACTCTATGAGGAAGTCACAAACGAGTTGAGAAGACATAAATAGAGGAAACTGATAAGGGCAGTAATGGAAGCAAGGTGATGGAAAAGGTCAAGGTTAATTCATTTAGGGGTTGTATCAGTTTCCAATGGCTTCTAAATTACCAAAATGTAGTGGCTTAAAACAACACAAATTTATTCTCTTACAATTCTGGAGGTCAGAAATCCAAAATGAGTTTTACAGGGCTAAAATCAAGGTGTTGGTGGGGCTGTGTTCTTTCTGGGACATCCAGGGAATAATCCATTTCGTTGCCATTTCAGATCCTAGAAACTGCCCGTATCCCTTAGCGCATGACCCCTTCCTCCATCTTCAAAGCAATGTCTGCTTCCATTGTCCTGTTTTCTGCTTTTGATCATCACATCTCTCTCTTAAGTACCCTTATGATTACATTGGGCCCAACTGGACAATCTAGGCTAGTCTTCCCATGGCAAGATACTTAATCACCGTGGTAAACTGAATAATGGCCTCCAATGATATCTATATCCTGATCCCTAGACCCTGTCAATGTTACCTTCTATAGCAAAAGGAACTTTGCAGATATGATTAAAGTAAGAATCTTAAATGGGGAGATTACCTTGGATTATCTAGGTAGAGTCTAAATGTAATCACAAGTGTCCTTAAGAAAAGGGAAACTAAGGGAGGTTTAAAGGAACTCTGGTAGTATAATGGTTAAGGCATTTGGCTGGCAACCAAAAGGTTGGTGGTTCAGATAAGCAAAGCACTGCTGAAGAAGGAAAACAAAGTAGGCGGACTCGCACTCCTGGATCTCAAAACCTACTGTACTACAGTAGTCAAAACTGTGGTATTGGTACAATGATAGACAGATAGACCAATGGAACAGAATCGAAAACTGAGTAATAGATCCATCCACCTATGAACAGCTGATCTTTGACAAAGGGCCAAAACCCATTAAATGGGGGAGAGATAGCCTTTTTAATAAATGGTGCTGGCAAAATTGGATATCCACTTGCAGAAAAATGAAACAAGACCGGTATCTCACCCCATACACAAAAACGAACCCAGATTGGATCAAAGACTTAAGTGCAAAACCCAAAGCTATAAAGCTCATCAAAAATAAAATAGGTGCAAATCTAGGGACTCTAATCTATGGCGTAAGCAGACTATTAAGCATAACCCAAAATGCACAGGCAGCGGAAGAGAAGCTAGATGACTGGGACCTTTTAAAAATTAAATTCCTATGTGCATCGGAAGACTTCTCCAAAAGGGTAAAAAGAGAATCTACAATTGAGAAAAAATATTTGGTTATGACATATCTGACAAGGGACGTATCTCCAAAACTTATAGAAAACTTTAACACCTCAATACCAGAAAGACAAACAACCCAATTCAAAAAGGTGCAAGGTACATGAACAGACACTTCACTGAAGAAGATAGACTGTTGTTGTTGTTGTTATGTGCCATCGAGTCAGCCCTGACTCATAGCGACCCCTTCTTGGGTTTCCGAGGCAGTATCTAGCAGCCAACAAATACATGAGGAAATGCTCACGATCATTAGCCATTAGAGGGACGCAAATCAAACAACAATGAGATATCATCTCACCTCAGCAATAATAGCAAAGCTCAACAAGACAGAAAATAACAAATGCTGGCGAGGTTGTAGAGAGATTGGAACTCTCATACACTGCTGGTGGGACTGCAAAATCGTACAGCCACTGTGGAAAATGGTGGTGTTTCCTTAAAAAACTGAAAATAGAAATACCATTTGATCCAGCAATTCTATTACTAGGGATGTATCTTAAAGAGGTGAGAGACAGGACACGAACAGACATATGCACACCCATGTTCATTGCAGCACAATTCACTATAGCAAAGAGATGGAAACAACCTAAATGACCATCAACAGATGAATGGATAACAAAACTATAGCAGATTCACACAATGGAATATTAGAAAACATTAAAGAATAATGAAGAATACATGAATCACCCCACAATGTGGATGAATTTGGGGGATACTATGCTGAGTGAAATAAGTCAATCACAGAAGGACAAATATTGTATGAACCCATTATTGTAAAAAGTCAAGGAAAGATTTACTCAGGGAAGGAAATTCACTTTGTTGGTTACTGGGGACAGGAGGGAAGGGGAAGGGAAATTTTGGACTAGTTGGGGGTCACTTGTTGATTTGGGTGAGGGGAGGGATGATGTGGAAAGAGTCTGTGACCAGCATGATAACACTGGGGAAAGGAAGGAACTGCAATGTGCACATAAGGTATAGACAACAGACACAATACTGCATTGCCACTAACACCAAACACCAGGCTATGGATGAATGCATAGACAGGGGAGAAGATCAGGAGGGGGTAGGTGAACAGGAATATACCCTAGACCAAGGATAGGTTTGGCTGAAGATAATCCTACTTATATATGTGCTACAAAATTAGCCACTTACATTATAGAAACAACAGAAGGCAGAGTTGGAGTTACTCCTCACAGACAACCAAACACCTTGAGAGAAAGAATCACCAGGCCTGCTGACTCAGGACCGTAGTCTCGGGGGACATCACGCTCAATTGGCACAACATAGTACATGAAAATCTTGTTGTACAACCTACTTTGGTGAGTAGCGACTTGGGTCTTAAAAGCTTTCGAGCATCCATCTATAATGCAACTATTGGTTTCCTCTCATCTGGAGCAAAAAAGAGTTAAGAAAATCAAAGGCATCTGGAAACAGGGGTAAGATGGACTGCAAAGACCTCAGCCTTCATGACCCCAAGAGCAGAACTACCAATGCCAACCACTTGGAAAGGGATCGAAACTGATCATGCATAGAATGGGAGGAAAAATGTGGAATGAAATGCAAAAACACAAAAATGACCAAAATTACTGGTCAGATAGAGACTGGTAGAACCCCTGAGACTATGGCTCCGGGTTACCCTTTGGGCCTAGAAATGGACTCACTTCCATGGATTGGCTCTCAGAACAACAGTAGAAAGACTACATGCAGAACACCTACCCCAGGGTGATACAGCTACCTCTTCTAGGGAGATGCATCCATGAGACATCAGCCATGAGACATCAGAGGGGCAGCATTCACAAAGAGGGAAGTCTTGAACAGACAGGAATGCAGAGTTAAGAAGGCACAGGGAGGAGGTAAGCACAGGAAGGGGAGAAGAGGAGAGTTTTTTATGACTGGGAATGGTAATTGGGGGCTGTGAAATAAAAAAGAAAAAAAAAATACAAAAGGTCGGTGGTTCAAACCCACCAGCAGCTCCATGGAAGAAAGATGATTCAGTCTGCTTCCATAAAGATTTATAGCCTTGGAAACCCAATGGGGATCTCTATGAATCAGTGTTGACTTCATGACAGTGAGGCTTTGGTTTGGTTGAGGGAGATTTGCCCACAGAATAGGAGAAGGTAATGTGATGATGGAAATAGGGATTGGAGTGATGAAGCCACAAACCAAGTGACACTGGCAGCTACTAGAAGCTGGAAGAAGCAAGGTCCAGATTTTCCCCTGGAATTTCAGAAGGAGCCAGCCCTGCCCACACCCATAAGTCTCAGTTTGGACTTCTGGCCTGCAGAACTGTAAGAGAGTAAATGTGTATTGTTTTAATCCACTAATTTGTGGTAATTTGTTACAGTAGCAATAGGAAACTAATACAATCACACCAGCCAAGTTCCTTTTGCCGTGATAGTTAGCATTCACAAGGTCCTGCAGATTAGGACAATGGCACCTTTGGGGGTCATTGTTCTGTCTACCACAGGGGTAATGGAGAGCAACTGGTTACAGGAAAGGGAGAAGGTGGAGAGTTTTGCACTAGACCTCCTCGAAGCACTCACAGACTTTCTAGAAGCAGAAGAAAGGACATTCAAGTGCCTGAAGAGGGGCTTGTGTGGAACAGAACCAAACTACAAGTGCGTTGGTGGAGAGAGGAGTGTGGAAGATTAGCTGGTAAAGGGGGGTCAGGGTCATAACTGGAAGGTTAGGTCATGGTGAGGGGCTTGGACCCCGTTCTTTAGGTCATATGGGAGGGGGCATGTTTGGTCTATAGGGAGATTTCAGAATAAGTCCTATTCTTATAGATAAACCAGAACCCTACACCCCTTCCACTTCTCTTAACTACCCCATCACCCAGTCCCTGCTTCCTCCCTCTATCTGTC